GCAATTCACATGCTCAATTTGAGGTGCCATTGCCTGATCTTCTAGTCCAAGTGCATGTACCTGTATACCAACCACCTACTGTACCAACTAGTTCTACTACACCCTCAATCACCTTTACCAACATGGAAATAGCTCGTTGAAAATAGGATTTTACGTCTCCCTTTGGGCTTGTTCCACTATAGGAACCAATTTCAGAATGTGAGGGGTTGGTGGTGGACACGAAAATTTAAGCCTAGGAGGTCATAGATTGGTGTGGCTAAAAGTTGTAAAGTCAAATTGTTAGAATTGTGGATGATTTAGAATTACTACATTTATCCACAATGATATTGATGGGAAGAACTATAGATATTTGCACTAAAGAGAATGCTGTTCACATACAACTCGTATGGCAATTTTAAGATGATGAATAAATGTTTATAGTTTATATCTAACAACTTTTTAAGGAAAATTATTTTTGGGAAAATTTACAATAGATGTGAAAAGTAATTTTTTCTTCCTCGTTCAATGGAGGAAGAGCAATGGCTACAGAAGTGCGATGATAGATGGCAGCTGAAACGTTACCAAGGCAACTTTCTTCTTCTTTCTCTTCTCCCTCTCACCTGTTGAAATATTAAAGTGTTTGCTGCATTATCTCTAAGAGATTTCAAATTTTACCTTGTGCTTTTGAATGTCCTTTATCTCTCAGGGAAGGTGCCTTTCGATAGATGAAGATGAGTTTTAAAAGATAGAAAAATCCGTAAGATGGAAGGGAATTCAAAGGATAAATCCTATCCACTGGAAATGTCCGAGATAAGCTAAAAATGGCAAGAAATGTTCACTTAGACAATTCATGATACACTATAGCATGTTACAGTAACACTACAATAATATTTTTTTTTCTATAAACTTACACGAAAGTCTTATCATATCCTAACCTGCTTTGAATCTAATTAAATCTCGAAAAAATGTAAAATTAAAATAAATTCTATCTAACTACAATCCCAAAAATGCTCTTGGTCTTGGATCGTCCATAGTTAATTTCAGTTGAGGTAACATCTTTGAATGGCTTTCCTCCTTTTTTCCTCTTTTGGGAAGGGGGTTTGTATGAAAATTTATGATAAATGAATTTAAAAATTATTAGTTTTCTGGAAAAAAATAAGCGTACATAATTCGCTAGTTTAATATGACTACTTTTTTTTTTTTTTAGATTTGTTTAGGGGGAGAAAGTGACTAATAATAGTAATATCAGAAGAATAAAATATGAGCAGCTTTATTTATGAAACTTACTTTTAAGCTATTTTGCCTTAAAAATAATTGAGGTATAATTTTTTTAATATATATTCTTAAATCATATTTTTGAAATTATATTTTTTATGTATTATTTTTTATACAAATATTTATAAGAAGAAATCAGAATATTATGGACTAATATCAAAAAGAAGAAATTAAAAATTTAATATAAAAATCCAAGTAAAAAATTATAAGACGAAGGATAAAAATAAAAAAAGGGGGCTAAATTATGGAGTACATGACCGCAATCCGGCCTACTTCGCTTTTTTCCACGCCGGTGGGGACGAGAAGCATCGTGGCTGTGGCCTACAGAACTACCGTCTCCTATGTTTGTTGGTAGGAGCCTCGCCGTCTGTGCCTGCTTCATGGTTCGTGCGTCGCCATTTGTGTTTACAACTTTCGTCACCATCACCAACCGCTGGGGACAACCGTAATCGCCGTGTTTCTATCTCCAGAACGACAGCGATGGCCGGAAAGACTCCTCTCTCTTATGATGCTGTATGATGTTTTGAAAGTTTACAGTTAAACCCAACTATGGTCTTAGTTGCATTGATGAAATTCAATTTAAATTTAGTTTTTATATTTTAAAAATATACACGCCATCTACTTTTTTTTTTTCCTTCTTAAATTTTTATTTGTTTTTACTATTTTAGTTTGTGATTTTGACGAATATATTGAAATGCCTTCGACATTTGTAAAGAGAAATGCCACGGGTAACATTTTTATGGGAATATAAATTTCTTATCCATCTTCTTTAATTACATAATTTTACTTATTTTTATTATTGCAAATCCTAGAATGAGATTTATTGTTCATTATTATAATTTTTTTTATAAAGTAATTAATCTTTGATTCCTATCAAAGATCATCCATGCATGGCACATGTCATTATTTACAGACTAAGAAATAAAAACATATCGCGGCCCTTTGATCAATGCAGATTTCACTAGTTATAGACTCGGGGATGGATTATTAGGTTGAATTAATAAGAGTTGGAACGTCTATTAGAATAAATAAAACAATTTAAAAAAAAAAAAAAATCCAAGAACCCACATGCATTCTTAAGATCTCCTTTTTTATATAATTTTTTAGGGGTATTTTCTACTTTATATAAAATTGGGTTATAAATTTTTTTACAGTTGATTCATATATATAGTGGAAGAGAAATTCTAGATTAAATTGTCAACAAAAAATTATACATTGGAAGATGGGAAAGGAGGAAAGCCACTAATCAAACTTTCAACTTTTAAATAAAATTTATAAATATTTTATTGTTTGAATCAATTTTAATTTGTCAAAAAATCTTAATCTAACCTTGTATTTAATTTGAAAAATTCACGTGAAAACAATCAAACCCCTTAATTTTTTTCCCCTTCCATTTCTTGTATATGTTAAAAAGTTTCCAGACGAAAAAATGATTTAGAAATTCACACTCCCCGCATCTTCTCTCTTACAATTTACTAGTTGGCTTGGGTCACTCGGATTTGGGTCGTTAAAATTCCGAAAGAACTAAATAATCAAATTCAATTGCGCTATTCAGTTCGAATCATCTGTCCTGGGTTTTTTCATTTTCTAAAATTTTACGTGTTTGATTTTTTTTTTTTTTTTCACTTTTGAAGTCTTTAAATGCCTATATTGTAGATATTGGACGCGAGTCCTTGCAACATCATGAAACACCCAAAGTCTCGTACAGGAAGTAAGTCCTAACATGGTCTGCTTTGAGCTTTTATAAATGAAATAATAACAGACACATACATAGTACGTACTTATGTTATTTAATAGGTATTTTATACTATTTATAAAATTATAAAATTACTAATGTAGGATTAGTTTGGTTAAAATATTGATTTGGATAGTTAAAATAAAAAAATATAGGTTTGAAAATTTTGAAATAAAGTTTTTACCCAGTTAAAATAATTTAATTTTTCAAAATAACTTTTTATTCATAAGCACCATTTCTAATTTTACAAATATACATATGTATTTTTACAGCAATACATATATAATTTTACAAGTACTCTGTCTAAAAGTTTACAAACATTTATCTGTTTGTTTACAATCATATATCTGTGTTTTTACAATTTGTATTTATATTTTTACAAACTTGCATACATCCACTTACAAGTATGCCTGTAAAAACACATATTAGTATATGTAAATTTATAAATGCATACTTATAAACAAACAGATGAATACTTATAAAATTGTAGATAAGTATTTATAAAATTACATATATATACTTGTAAAAAAAAATAAAAATGCATACGAGTAAAATTACAAATGTATTATTGCAAAAACACAGATTCCTACTTACAAAAATATAGATTGTGCTTGTAAGTAAAAAGGTATTTTGGAAAATTAAATTACCTTAATTGCACAAAAATTTTATTTCAAATCTTCTAGGTTAGTATTTTTTATTTTGACCCTCCGGATCAATATTTTAACCAAACTGACCTATTGGTAATTTTCACTAAAATTGCGCATAATATATAAAACATAATAAAAATAAGGTTTATAATTGGTAAGAAACCTCCAAAGAAATTGGAGAATAGTTCACAATATATAAGATTTTTAAAAAAATTACATATTATGTATTTTCAAATATTTACGGTCACCCTTATTCTTATTTTTATTTTTATTTTATTTTATTTTTTTTGGGGAAAAAAGAGGGTTTGTTTTGTTCATTTAACTTCTTTTTAAAAATTTTTCCCTCTGCTTCCTCCTCCTTTCCCTTAAAATATTACAAATAATTATATGAGCAATACAGTCCCTGCAATGACGGGCCGGCCCCTCCATATCAAACTGTATATTAGCAAATTCTAATACCTGGCTCCAGGCATTTGGAATTTTGCCAAGGCAACAATCTCCCTGCAAGCTTTTGAAACTAATAAAGCTAGTCAACTTTTCTCTATGCCCTTAGTATTCCTTTCAATGGGGCGGACCTGTACATGATTTTTGTTTTAGAAAACAACTATGCTGCTGCTTTCTGCTTCCTTGCTTTCTAAATGCAAACATGCCAAGACGGCAGCCGGCGTTGTTCTTGAGGCCAGAAAGGACAGCCAAATACCTTCTGTTTTTGTATTATCTAATGGAATTGTCCCAAATGCTCTGTTTTTCTTCCCCATGACTTCCAATCAAATTATTAAATTAAACCCCCCAAAATTCTAATCAACTTCAGATCAGTAAACATATTTCTGATTTATTTGGCAGAAGGTTGTGGCCCCTAATATTAAAATGAAAATATCAAAGGGAAAAAATATTATGAAAACGAACGGACCAATACCCAATCAACATATACACATTTGAACATTATTTACATTATTCTAGGAATGACTCAAATGGTTTGTAGCTTTAGCTTTACCGCTGCTGGGTTGCTGCTGGGTTATTAGTGGCCAGACGTCTTAAATATTAGAGTCATTAACCCATTAGGTCTGTTCTTAATACTAGGTATAAACTTAAATACTATCTCAAGAATGTTATGATTTTTTATATTTAAATAACTGAGATTGGCTTAAAAATATTAAAACCAAATGTTAAATTGGATGATTTTAAAAAACAAATTAAACCCTTTAATTCAGAAAGGCCAATTTAAATGAAAAGATGGAGAATTTTGAAATAAATGGACCCTGAATTGTCAAAAGGCAATCACCAATCACCATTTTGGTTAGTGGTATTTGGTGGAAGTGTGAATTTTGGAGCAATGCATATGAAATTGAAATACGCGTAGCTGAATGCTTTTGTTTGCATCGCTGCAAGGATGTTATATTATTACATATTGCATTTGTCTTGTATGAAGGAATTAACTTACCGTTGTTTAAGAGGATCTCAGGACGGTCTGACCTGCGCAACCCCTGATTAAGAGCCAATTCAACCCTAATGATTTAGGTTAGACCTGGTTAATACCGCCCACAGTAACCTACTGGCATCTTGACTTGATCAAGTTCAGAACTCCTAACGCTCTAGGCCTCTATAACTCATCAAGCTTTCATTCTACTCTCCCATATTGCATTCCAGCCATGTCCATCCACAATAATTCTCTCCGTATACTCATCTGCCTCCTTTTACTTCCCTTCTCTACAAATTCAATTACTTTCAATTTCTCCAGTTTCGAGCCTAACATGAGAGAAATTTTCTACCAAGGCGACGCTTTTGCAGCCAGCGGAGTAATCCAGGTCACCAAGAATCAACAGGACACTAATCTCACCAGGAGCGTCGGCCGAGCCTCCTATGCAGAGAGAATAAGGCTCTGGGACTCCAAAACGGGGAAGTTAACAGATTTCACTACCCATTTCTCTTTCATCATCAAAGCCGTTGATAAGAATCTCTACGGTGACGGCCTCGCCTTCTTCCTTGCTCCCTTCCGGCAACAAATTCCGACCAATTCCATTGGTGGGTTCCTTGGGTTATTTAGTAGTGGCTCTGCCCTCAAGTCTTCTGATAATTCCATAGTTGCTGTTGAGTTCGATACGTACAAGGATGAATGGGATCCTAGCTCGGACCACGTTGGAATTGATGTAAATTCAATTGTCTCCATGGCTAATGTTACCTGGAAAAGCAGTATCAAGAATGGAGCTAAAGCGAATGCTTGGGTGAGCTATAATTCTACGACTAAAAATCTAAGCGTATTTCTTACTTACGCTGATAAGCCGGTTTTTATGGGAAATTCCAGCGTTTTCTACGTGGTTGATCTGAGGAAGGTTTTGCCCGAGTGGGTTAGTATTGGTTTTTCAGCTGCCACAAGCCAGAAGGTTGAAATACACAACATTCTCTCCTGGAACTTCACTTCAAATTTGGAGATACATAGTTCTGATTGGAAAAGGCAAACACAGTTGGTAGTTGGTCTGGCCGCCGGTTTTGGTGCCTTGAGTTGTGGGTTTGCTCTGTTTTTCTTCATCAAGTGGAGAAAAAGGATTGATGAGAGGAAAAAGGACACTGCGGCGGATATTGCAATAGATGATGATGATTTTGAGAAAGGAACAGGGCCTAGGCGATTCACCTTTGATGAACTCTCTCGTGCAACCAAAAATTTTTCCGAGGAAGGGAAGCTTGGAGAGGGTGGATTCGGGGGCGTTTACAAGGGTTTGCTAGGCGACACAAATGCAGAAATAGCGGTTAAGCGTGTCTCGAGAGGATCAAAGCAGGGAAAAAAGGAGTACGTTTCCGAGGTGAAGATTATTAGCCGGTTGAGGCACAGAAATTTGGTGCAACTCATCGGGTGGTGCCACGAGAAGGGCGAGTTCCTTCTGATCTACGAGTTCATGCCCAACGGAAGCCTCGATTCCCATCTCTTTGGTGCGAAAGCAAGGCTGACATGGGTGGTGAGGCACAAAATAGCCCTCGGCTTGGCCTCTGCATTGCTCTATCTGCATGAAGAATGGGAACAATGTGTTGTCCACAGAGATATCAAATCAAGCAACATCATGTTGGATTCAAATTATAATGCAAAGCTAGGTGATTTTGGGCTAGCCAGGCTTGTGGACCATGAATTAGGATCACAAACAACAGTTTTGGCAGGCACAATGGGTTACTTGGCGCCGGAATGTGTCACCACGGGCAAAGCAAGCAAAGAATCTGATGTTTACAGCTTCGGAGTTGTGGCGCTGGAAATTGCCTGTGGAAGAAAACCAGTTGAGGTAAAAGTGGATCCGATTAAGGTGAGGATAGTGGAGTGGGTTTGGGACCTGTATGGGAAAGGGAAAATCCTAGAAGCTGCTGATAAGTGGCTTATAAGTAGCAAGGAGTATGACAAGAGACAGCTAGAGTGCTTGATGGTGGTTGGGCTGTGGTGTTGCCACCCAGATCATACCCTGCGCCCTTCCATTAAGCAAGTGATTAATGTCCTTAATTTTGAAGCTCCGTTGCCCAATCTTCCAGCAAAGCAGCCTGTGCCAATGTATTTTGCACCTCCGATGAATGTTTGCCGATTTTCATATACACCGTCCGAGGGTCTCACAGACTCAGAGAGGCATAGGACTCAGTGTTCTTATAGCACCTGCAGCTCTTCAACGTCAGGGGGCTCTTCTAAAGCCCTCTTGAAATTGCGTGAGGCTAATCCGTAGCATCTTTTTATGGTAATCTCTCCTTGTGTTTGACTAGAAGTAAGAGAAAGGAAACTATGATAGGAAATTAATACTTGTAGTAATGTTGTTGTTTGATTCTATTCAATAAATTAAAAACTTGTACAAATAAATATAATTTCTTAGTGAAGCCGTGTTTTTATTTAATGACAACTCAACGAGAGGATATAATATGTAACGATTCAATGTGTTTCCAATTATTAGATTTATTTGATTATTTCCAGTCAATTGATGATAACTTATAAGCAAATTGTTCTTATATGTGCTAATAAACTATGCTTGACTTGGAAATGATGGTTGCCAATATAGGCCAAGTTTGGTCCACATTTGACTCAACTGGATGATTTATTAGATAGATCAATAGCTTTAGCATCTATTATATTATCACGAATATCATATCCGATACTAATATAACAAATGTTAAAATCATTGATATATCAAGTTAATACCTTGCATTAAATATAAGTAACTAAATCTCAAATTGTAGGTTTATATTTATATATATTTCTAAACACAAAAACCATAAGATTCAATTAAGTTGTAGGATTTAAATGGGCTTAGATCTATTATATGTTAGTTGAAAGATGTGAGAAAAAAAAGTTTAAAATATTTTTACCACTCCCCTTTGGGGCCCAAAATGGACCCCCAGGTGTGTTTTTGGTCCTGATTCATTCGAGAGCTTTTCTAAAACGTCCTATGAACGGATCATGGGATGCAGCTTTTGACCGGCTCAATGTTTGCCCACCATCCTAATTTGTGTATTTGTGGCAGTGGGTTGAAATTTGGGCCCCAGAGCAGACCACGAGAGACGGTTTTTGATCCTAATTCATTTCACTGTTGTTCTAAAACATTTTTGTGATCAAGTTATGAGATTCAGTTTTCGGTGAGCCCACTATCAGCCTATTGTGCTGATAATGGTGTTTATGCAAATAGGTTGGAATTTAAGGCCCTAAACGGGTGTGGTTTTTTTTTTTTTTTTTTGATTCACATAAGTGCAGATCCAAACTGTTTTGTAAACGGTTTATGGGATGCAATTTTTGACTTTCCCACCATCCCGATAAGGGCGTTTTTGGTGGGGCGTCAAAAATTAGGGTCCAAAATGAACCCAGGAGTGGCTTTGGATCCTAATTCACTTGAGGGTTGTTTTAGGCCGTTCTATGAATGGTTTATGGGGTGTAATTTTTGGCTAGCCACTCTTCCAATAAGGGCGTTTGTGGGGGTGGATTAGGATTTGGGATCCAAAATAGACCCCCAGCTTTATGTGCAATTTTTGGTCTTAATTCATGTGAGGGTTATTTTCGACTGTTTTGTGAACAACTTACCAATGATGTCATCCACTATCAGCCCCTCATTTCGATAAGGGCATTTGTGATGACAAGTTGAAATATGGACATGTTTTGTAATCTTTAATCATGAGTGCGGTTTTAAGTTATTTCTGTCCTTTCACTCACTGTCATGATGACTTAACATCCACATCAAATTAGAAATTTATAACATTCTTGCCAAATTATAAATTTATATTTATATTTAAACAAAATAAATCAAATTCAACAATTTTTCAATTTTGATTCGCTTAGGTTAGTTTTTGACTATCTCACTATTGGCAAGCGGTCTTAATACAAGCTTTTGTGGCAACGAGTTGCTAACATGCACTGGCTCTTGTTGCTAACATGCACCACCACAGCTTGCTAACATGCACAGCCACTGGTGCTATCGCCCCCTAGTGCTAATTTACATTACCACAACTTACTAACATGCACCGATACCTATTGATAATGGGCACAGCCGTTGCCACAGTTTGTGTATAGAGCCCCTTGTTGCTAACGTCCACGGCCACAGCTTGGTGACGTGCACTGGCCCTTGTTAACGTGCGTCATGGCTATATTTGTTTCGCATTCTTCTCCCTCAAAAAATGAAAATAAAAAATAAAAATAGAAAATATTTTGGAATACGCGCCTCTTATACCCATCTGCCTAGCCAATTAAACGATGAAGTGGATAAACAAGTATTAGGAATATTTATATTTTTTTTAATGTTGTAGCTCCTCCTTTTAACACAAATTCAAGATGACCAATTCATGAAATACTGATTTATGGTGGAAAGGGAATACCTAGTAATGGATGCCCTAGATTATAAAAAGATTTTTAAATTGGGATGTCCCCAGTTTTCCTTTATAATAATAAATTTTTTGGTTTAGTAGTTAATTTCCATTTAGATATTTTTTCATATATATTTATTTTCTCTTTTACAGCGGCCGTATTCTAAATTTTATTTATTTATTTATTTTTACAAGAGCGGTAGTATTCCAATTCCTTAACATTTTATTATATTAAATAAGTAATAATAAAAGTAGTCAAAGTGAGAGTAGTTAAGGAACTTGGTCAAAAATAATTCAACATTTATGGTAGTTGATTTATTAATTCAATATTCATTGTATGTGATAAACTGTTCTCCTCCTTTAGTCTAATGCTTATTTAATGATTTCACACATATTTTCTTTCCATTATTTATTGGTTTCTCCTTTACCTTTATTATTTACATTTTATATATTAATATCTTACTCTCATTTATGTATTACTGTATTTTGAAATTCAGGCTTACCTATTTTAAATAGTATAATATTTGTAAAATTTATTTAAAAATTTATGCGTGTGAATTAATATATATAATAGTCATATTGTTTGAAGGAATAATCCTATTATTATGAATAAATATGCATTCCATGGTTTCAACATTGAGGTTAACATTGGTGAGGAGGATGGAGAAAGAGGGATGCCTTGTTTGGTGGCTAGTGTTGGCTCTTCAGTTCTTTATCCTGCAGCTTGCAGCTTGTACTCAACATGGGTATGTACAGATTTCCATTTCTTCCTCACCCGTTTTCATTTCAAGTTTTTATCAAGCTTTCATGAATATTTTCATGTTTGATCCATAAGATTCACCTAAACGTAGTCATCAAAATCAGAAGTTTAAGATTTCAAATATATATTTATTTATTGTCTTTTTTCGTTTGGAGGGTAATATAAATGCTTTTTATGAGCAGTAGAAATATCTTAACCTAAATGGGGAAGGGGTATTGGAGAGGAGAAGGAGGTGGGGGAAGAAGGAAGTGGCTTTTAATTGAGATGAAAACCATCTGTTACGTCTAATTTAAATTGCATTAGTGCATTACAAATTTGGATTTTCATCTCTTTATGTCCCAATTACAGAAGACTTCCTCTGAATGATATAGAGAACGAGTTTCAGCCTATTGGTGGGGAGCCCGCTCCAGGGGTCGATTTGCAAATACTAGATCACCAAGTAAGACAGTATATTTCTTTCCCTTTGTTTTATTCTAATGATCCACTAATTAATTATGTGATAAAATAGAAAACTATTGTGGTAAAATAAGGAAACTTTAATTTAACTTATATAACCCCTTAACGTTTTGTAATATTGAGATTAGTCCCTATTTAATTTTAACTTAACAAGTAAATAATCTTAAAATTTGTTAAGACAATATTAAATATTCTGATACTAATATAATGAATTATACAAGTCACAAACTTAATGAATTATGACACAATATCAAATAAATCGACTATAATTCAGCTTACATTATTTACTTCTTGAACTCCAAAAAAAAAAAAAAAAAAAAAAAGGGTTTTCCATTTTTTTTTCTTGGGTTTGTTTCCACGCGCAATTAAGCGCCTCTAATAATTAAATGTGTGATATCCTTTTTAGGTAGTGATGTCAAATGGCTTAGTCAGCGTCACTTTCTCACGTCCCCGGGGTGAGATCACAGGGATAGAATTCAATGGTATTGACAACTTACTTGAAACTTCAAATGGGAAAGCAGACAGAGGGTACGCACTTTTATTTGCTGTCATTTTTTGGGCTGCTGTCGTATGTTTTTTATCTGCTTATTAAGTGTTTTATTTTTAACAAATAAATATAACGAGAAAAAGAATATGACATTGTGAGCTAACTTTGAGTAAAACTAAATGCATTCGATATTCTGAAAAAACCCAAATGTGCAATAATTTCGCAGCAGGGTTAATTCTTCTTCACTGAAATTAAAATTCATTTTGGAAGCAATTTTCTTGCATTATTGGGTTTCTAAAGGCCCGTTTGAGAGCAAGTTTAGGAAATGTGAATTTGGGAAAAATGGTTTGCAGAAAATAGGTTTGAGGAAGGAAAATTTGAAAAAAGTGGATTTAAACTATATTTTGTTGTGAAAATAAGATAAAAATAATAAATATCCAATTTATTAAAAAAAATTTTGCCTATCAGGTATTTTTATAACATTAATATTATATTTTTAAAAAATTAAAAATTAAAAAAATACCCCAACCACCACTAACTTAAATTTGAAATCAGGCTTAAAAAAATTTTGGAGCCAATTTTTATTTCATAACTAAAGAATTTTGGGCACAACATGGACATATTTATTTTGAAGTCGGGTTCAATTATTTTCAATAAAACTTGAGATTTTAAAACATTATGTGGAACGAGTTTTAGATTTGTAGAGTTCAAGAGTTGAATTTATTTTTTTAGCATTTCCAGTCTACCTTAGTATCTTAAAACCTCAGTACTTCAAAACTGTCAATCTTTCTGTTAGACTCAATCCTTAGAGTTATCCATCTTGTTTATTCGAACATTTAATTGCCCAAATTAAGATATGGAGGGGTGTGTATTGGGTTTTGGTAATGTTCATTTTTATTTACGGATTCAATTTTTTAAAGTATTTGTGTAGTGCACCCAATTCTTTTATTTATGCATCAAAAACATTCCTGCATACTAGAAAAATGTGATTGAATATTGCATTTTTGGTAAGTTGCTTCACTAGCTAAAATTGCTACAGGTACTGGGATGTTTCTTGGTCCAAGCGTGGAGACCACACTAGCCAAATGAGGTCATTATTATTACTCTAATGTTTGGTTTCTTTAATACTATCCTTGATAACACTGCTCTCATTTTATAGTTTTATACATTCTAATGCTGCTCTCATTTTATAGTTTTATACATTCTAATGGGCATGTAGAATCCATTCTTTTATGAGAAATAAGAGTAAAACGAGGGCAATATTTTGAAGAAAGTATCAAACAAATCTATGTGCTATTCTCTTTTAATTTAAAAAATATATATTTTTAAAACTGAGATATGTCTTTAGAATGCAAGATTTTAGAGATAATTAAGACATTGTTCCTTTAATATTATATGTTTTTGAAGAGCATATTTTTAAAACTATAACTTTTCATATATTATTTTTGAAATAAGGATTATGTAAAAAAAATTAAAAAATTTGAGGATCAAATAAGAGAATAAAATAAAGAACTTACATATGGATAGAATTAATGAAATTAAAAAAATAAAAAATTCATGTGAAAAGGAGCTAATAGTAGGGACTAAATTGAAAATAAATTAAAATTTCATATTATATATATATTCATATTAATATAATAGAATATAATATATGTATTATTATATATAATATAATATGTTATATATTATGTTTTAATTTATAATAGTATTTTATATATATATATATATATATATATAAGAAGATATTGTATATGACAGAATTCTTTTCTTTAATATAAGTGGAATAACTTGTCGTAGAAACTAAGCACAGTCTCAAGAATAAATTCTTAAGTTTTGAAGCATGTGCTCCTAAAATAGTTTTAAAAATATAATTCAAAAGAATAATTTTGTTACAACCCGGCCTTGGGCCCATAATCAGCACTAAGACACACTGGCCCTAATAAGCCTTATAATACTCTTCCATACCAATAATACAAATCATATACCAAACATACTAATATAATATCTAAATTTACAAAACAAGATTCTATTTGAGAATACAAAAAGAGCTACTCTAGAGTATAAAATAAGAGAGACACAAAAAGGTGCATGTATATCAAACAAACCACAGATAAGTGCTCTAACCTTGGTGCGCTAATTGAGGCATGACAAGAGAACCAAATCTAGAATAATAATAAAACGTGAGCTACAAAACTCAATAAATAAGGATAATACATAATCTATGCATATTGGGATATGTATCACACCATATGTCAAAAAACTATACATATACATATATAGTGAGCAGTTTCAGTATCAAAACATCCATATGTGAAAGTATAATAATCACGTCACAAGACTCTAACCTCATGACTTTTGCGATTGAAAGAATCCATCGTCTCAATGATCAGAGGCATCACAAACACAACCACATCATATGGCTATGCCCCAATCAAGTCCACATCACACCTACTAGGGCAATACGCTCACCAAAGCAACACAATCTTAGCACACGCCTATTAAGGCAACACACTCATCAGAGCAACATAATCTTAGCACACACCCACTATGGCAACATGCTCACCAGAGTAATACAATCTCAGCCCATACCCACCAAGGCAACACACTCACCAAAGCAATACAATCTCAGTACATAGTATAACTCCCCACATATAAGTCCAAAACATATATATACAGTTCATAACTCAAAATCAATATCACATATCAACATACCTTATTAACAGTCAACAACTCACATAACACATATACCAAATGTAAATATATAATAAAATACAATTCATAAACCATCACATGATCTATGTCAAAAAACACAGTAAGAAAATGTATATATAGAAAATGTATTATCACTCACGGCATCGAAGCAAAGCTAAATGAAAGTCTTAAGTCACCCTCACTTGACTTATCGATCCGAGTGCACCTTTGTTAGTGTAACTATAACTATAACAACACAAAATCACAACCAACGCCAAAACCAGTACAAGAAAAGGGCTCAGTAGACTAAAACCAAGCTCGAATCCCATTCTAGGACCCTAACATACATCCCGAGACTAACGACCTAACACCTCAAACCCACAAAACTCAAGTACGCACATCCAAATCCCTTAAAAACCCTTAAACCGCACTGAACCAGTCTCTAAAACTCTCAAATCAGCCTAAACTGGCCTAAGACTACCTTAAACCAAACCGAACTGACCATAAAAACCTCAAAATTGGATTAAACCAGCCCCAAAACCCTAGAAACTGAACTGAACTGATCGAGAACTACCTAAAATAGGGCTGAACCGGTCATAAAAGCCTCTAAACGGCCTAAAAACCCTAGAACTAGGTGGGTTCCGCCACAAACCCTTGATTTTCGGCTGAATCGGACTTCCCCAAACCCCCTAACCAACTTGGTACAAAAGTCCTCATCCTCTTGAAGTGGGAACCGACTTAACTTTCCAATTCCGAGTTGAATTGCCCTTTGAATTGGCTGGTCAAACCTTGAACCAGCACTGGCTAGTTCAATCAACTTAAAACCTTAATTTCCATGGATAGCTTATCCCTGCCTTGGTCATTTAATTATGATTTAATCCTATTCTATCCCCTGAGATAGCGTATCCCTAATTCCTACTGAGTTGACTTGTCGAGTCAACTCACCTATTCAAACACTAGGTTGAGTCAACTCACTAGTCAACTTAGCCTAAGCCCTAATACAACCCGCGACCCAAGCCCTAACCCTATAGCCTAATCGGCTCAAGCCACCCCATTGGGTCGGCCCAACCCACACTCACTTGGGCCAGCCTCGGCCCAAGTCCACCCAGGCCCAACCCGCTTAGGCCAACCTAGGTCCATCCTAACCTGAACCTCACCCAGCCCGATTGAGTCAACCTGGTGAGCCGGGTCAATCCAGTTCGGGTCTATCTTCTTCACCCATTTGAGACCCGGTTCTTGCATCCAGGTCTGCAACACAACCTAAATCAAAAACATAAAAAACAAAAAATATATTCAATCACATACTTGGATCGATTCGAAGCTAAGGTTTATGGAATTGGGCTAAGCAAACCACTTCAAGCACTTTAATTAGATCAAAATTGATCCAAAAGGCTTCAAAATCCAGCTAGATCCACTTGGCCATTCGTGAACCCATTCGGCCAAACCAGCTTGAAATTCTCTCCAATCTCTTTCTAAAACACAAAATTGGTTGAAGGAAACCAATTGTCAACACCTAACGCACGTAGATAAGCTATCAAAAGTTGGAAAAGTGACTCGAATGATTGCAGTATGGCATGAACAGTTTCAGTCACTAAAACTTCCTATTCATTCATGATCTAGTTCTTCAAACTTTTATTTCTTTCAATTTCATCCCTCCAACGCCCAATTGAGTCCCTATTTCATTTAATTTCTTCAATTGACCCCTGACCGTTTCAATTTAAGCCCTTAATTCCTGATTTACCAATTTGGCCCCCCGAACTCCTAATTCCTTCAATTAACACGCTCCTGAATTATGTTTTAACCCCAATAACTTTTAATTAATACAATTAAGCCCATAATTCAATTAATTAAATAAAAACCCTAAAATTCTAAATATTGGGGTCATTACAAATTTTTCTAAAACTTTCGTTTAACAAACAAAGGTACATGCCTTTAAGATTGTAAAAGAACAACACCTTAATCTTTTAAAGGTGTGACTAAAATGCGATGTCTAAGTCTTCTGAGAAAATAGGAGAAACGAGAAAGGAAATGATTATATCTTAAAGATGGAAAAAGAAGGAAGAAGATTTTAATTTTTGTACATTTTATGTGGGTAATTAGAATAAATTGAAAGAAATTTTCTTAATATCTCTTTGTTTTTCTTACGAGGCTCAGTCCACATAAGTAATTTGGAAAAAAAAGAAAAAGAGTTCTCTTCCTTTTTTTTTCATTTTTTTCTAAATTACCCATTTCAAACAGATCAAGTATATCGATTCTCTTGACTGAATCTAATTTTTTGAATGACTTGATTTTTAGGCTAACGGGAACATGTTTTAAGGTAATACTACAAAGTGAAGATCAAGTTGAGATTTCTTTCATTCGAAAATGGAAAAATGGAATGAGCTTTCCGATTAATGTGGAAATAAGGTACATAATTATTCAACATTTAATGTGTAACATATATATTTATTTTCTCACGTAGGTTCTAACTTCTAACTCAGGTACATAATGTTGCGTGGGAGCTCTGGATTCTATTCTTACGCAATATTTGAGCGACCCAGAGGCTGGCCTTCTCTAAAGATGGCCCAAGTGAGGATCGTGTTCAAGCTTCTACAAGACAAGTAACATAAGAATGTCCTTGAAAATCGTTACTTCATAGATCTGTGATTATCAACGTTTTCCTGACTTTGCTGGTATACAATTAATGACGATCAGATTCCGTTACATGGCTATCTCCGACGAGAGACAAAGGGTCATGCCTACAAGTTCAGATAGGAAAAATGGTCGGGAGCTGGATTACCCAGAAGCTGTTCAACTAACGAACCCATCTAATGCTAGCCTCCTAGGAGAAGTGAGCACTTTCTCTACATGCCACATCAGTTAAAGAGCCACGTCATAATATAAAATTTTCAGAGTCAACAACAAAAGGGCTATGCATTAACGGTGACATTCTTTGACACGGATGCAGGTGGATGACAAGTATCAATACTCGTGTGATAACAAAGACAATCGGGTCCATGGATGGATAAGTAACTGCCCTGCAGTTGGATTTTGGATGATCACACCTAGCGATGAGTTTCGAGTTGGAGGGCCTTTTAAGCAGGATCTCACCTCCCACTGTGGCCCCACAGTTCTTTCTGTAAGTCTATCTGTGTGTATCTGTTTGTCTCTCACACACGCACATACGTTGTTGGTCTTCATTCTTGCTTGATCATCACCTAGCCTTGAATTGTTAATGGCCGTTTCTGACCACCCTTGTGGGTCATGAAGATGTTTGTAAGCACCCATTACGCTGGCACTGGAATGGTCATGCATTTTAAGGAAGGAGAGCCATGGAAGAAAGTTTTTGGCCCGGTCTTTATCTATCTTAACTCAGACTCAGTCGAAGAGAATCGCCAAGGGCTTTGGCAAGATGCAAAAGAACAGGTATTGTCTTGAAGCATCTTCTACTTCCAAGAATTTCAACTCTTATTCATCAAACTAAGAGTGCATAATAATCAGATGCGGAAAGAAACTGCAAGCTGGCCATATACTTTTCCCCTTTCACCAGATTTCTCTCATTCCAATCAACGCGGATGTATTAGAGGTCAATTATTTTTCTATGACCGGTACACCCTCGCTGGATTCATTGTTTCTCTTCTAAAATCGAGTATGCTTAAGAAAATAACTTATCTGTCTCCTTTGTTATAGGTACAATAGCATACACCCTATACCAGCAATGTTTGCATACGTGGGGCTGGCGTTGCCTGGGGAAATTGGCTCTTGGCAAAAGGAAAACAAAGTTGTGCTTGTTTCTTATTTCCTAGTAAATAGTCAATTATACATGCATTGTCTCCAGTTATCCACCCATTTATCATATGAGCTTAATTTTCCCCAGGGTTATCAATTTTGGACTCGAGCTGATTCTGAAGGGAATTTCTTTATTGAAAATATTCGAGTTGGAAGGTATAACTTGTTTGCTTGGGTTCCTGGAGTCATCGGAGATTACAAATATTTTGAGTTAATCACCATTACACCAGGTGTCTAAACCACATATGTCGTGTAAATTTACCAAGGAAATAGCTACATGTGAATTTCTCAAGTATTATGAGCTTTGATACATCTCACTATCAATGCAGGATGCGCAATTGAGTTATATGATCTTGTGTATAACCCTCCAAGGAAAGGGGCCACTTTGTGGGAGATAGGAGTCCCTGACAGAACAGCAGCTGAATTTTTCATTCCTGAGCCAGAACCTGGGCTTGGGAACCATTTGTACGCAGATTTTGACAAGTTAGCTCTCACTAATCGATGTTCTTTCTGTTGTTTCATTACCCAGATGGATCATTTAGTTACCACATATACGTTTGAGTTACAGATTTAGACAGTATGGCCTGTGGAAAAGGTATACAGAATTGTATCCTTGGAAGGACCTCATCTACACTATTGGTGACAGTAACTACAAAAGGGATTGGTTCTTTGCCCATGTTACCAGGTATATCACAACCTTGCACAAGCTTCGTTGGACCTGTTCATTTCATAATAAGTCAAACTTAATTTCACATCGTAGGTATACGGGAAATTATAGCTACAAAGCAACCACATGGCAGATAAAGTTCCAACTCAATAATGTTTGCAAGACTAGAAACTATACTCTGCGACTAGCCCTGGCATCAGCAAACCGTGCAGAATTGCAAGTAAGAGATGAACCTCTGCTATCTGCACAGGCATTAGATATGATTTTGAGGCAATGTCAACCTATGATTTGTTAATAAAATTGTGTACATCGTGTGTTTAATGACCTGAGTGATCTTATAAGGTCCGAGTCAACAATGAAGCAGCCAAGAGGCCTCTCTTCACGACAGGGAGCATAGGGAAAGACAACGCTATAGCAAGGCATGGGATTCATGGCTTCTACTACATGTACGAGGTTGGGATACCAGGTAAAGAACTGGTAAATGGGAACAACACAATCTTTCTCAAACAGTCAAAAGCATCAGGCCTCTTCAATGGAGTCATGTACGACTACATTCGTTTGGAAGAGCCACAATTCGAGGAAGTTAAAGATGCAAATTAGACTCGTAATGCTTCCAACGAAGCCGTTCCTGCTAGGCTCACTGAAAATAAAAACAAGAATATCCAAACGAGGATAGGCCCATGTGGCTTTCCAGATTGGGCCTGTTTGGGTGTCTTCGAGCTCGGGTTTCAACTTATTGGACCTAAAGAAAGTGAAAAAATAATGGAAAATCGAATATTTATGTTACATTACATCTTTAACAATGTGATTTGACTTAAATATTATCATAAATAAGTTAGATTTAAATCAAATTAAATAAATTTGAATTCGAATTTGATTGTCCATTTTTATATTCAAATCAAACTTGATATTTTATAGAATTTATGCTTATTAAATTATATCAAATCTGATAAGTAATCTGAAATTTAATAAAAAAAATTCAATTTGAAAAGAAAATAATTTTTTTTGTATTTAAATCTCTCAAATTTATTCTATCAATGATATTGATCGTTGAATATTTTAATTTTATCAATTTATTTCTTACAAATTAGAATTTATTAATACTACATATATAAAAATTATTAATTTAATTAAAAAATTATAAAATTCATAATTAATTTTTTGACAAATCAAATTATTTAATTATATATTTGATTTATTTATTTCAAATTATGAATATTTATAATTAGATCTAATCTATTGAATCTTTCAATTGGATTTGAATCCTAAAATTCAAATCCAATTCAAATCAATTCGAATTATAATTTAACCCATTGATAATTCTAAACTGAACTACCTCTTCTTAAATGTGAGTTGTTGAGTTCAGGCCTTTATGGAAGTTCTTTTTAAACATACTAAACATTTTCAATAGGTTACGTTACACTATGTGTTTAATTTGTTTAAGAATATATAGAAAAACTGGCATTCACAAAATTATAGAAATATATTTTGTGATTTAATGTTACTTTTTGAATATTTTTTCATAATTTTGTTTTTCAATTAAAGACATAATTTACTAATGTTTAATTAATTTTAAAAGAATTTAAATTTAAATTTACCTGTATTTATGTTTTACTTAAGAAGTCTTTCACACCATAGAATTACCCCTGTTTTATAAAAGGTCCTTGTGAAATCTGCCGGTTAACATTGATGTGTTAAAGAAAAGAATGTCACCAAATTAATGAGGCATGTGCTAGGGAAGAAAAGATAGGGCCTAGTTTGGCAAGTAAATTTGATGGGTTGTTGAATTAAACTCTTTCATAGATTTTTTTAATCATTTATTAATCAATCCAGTCCACAGCAGAATTTTAAGATTCTTTTGATCAATTATTGGCTCATTTTCCCTATTTCCCTTTTTATTCTGTTGCTTAGGTTTTTTCTAAAAAAAAGAAAGAAAGAAAAGTGAAATATCATTTATTGATCAAAAGAGAGAATGCATTGAAAATCTATTCCTTACAATATACTCCCAACAAAAATTGTATGTTCCTCTTCCCAACATAAACCCAGTTCTAACCACCTGCACTTAATCCAATAAATTATTAGAGTCCCTGTAAACAAAATAGACGCTAATTGCAAACAAAGGAAAAAAGAAAAAGAGAAAAAGAAAAAACTTTTATCCAAACCTCTTACAGTTGTTTGCGCCCAATTGGTCAATCTATTAGATACTAAGTTTTAATTTGAAGTGAGAGATTTTATTATATATTGAATTAGTATTATCAGCGTCAATTTTTGGGAGCTAATTCAGTAAATATTAAGATCTCTGACTCACTATCCCAATTGCTAACATCAAATATAGGTAACAGTAATTTAAAGTTAACAAATTATTGAAATTATTAATTTTCAAAATAGTTAAAATTTTAATATTTAGATGTCAATTGGTTAGACTTTAATATGAATTCGAACTAATTTCGATTTGAATTTTAGAATTTAAATTTAATTAAAATATTCAATAAATCAGATTTGATTATAAATATGCATAAACTAAAATAAAAAGACTAAATATAAAATTAGGTAATTCAATTTATTAAAAATTTAAATTTAAATTATAGTAATATTTTTATTAAATTAATAATTTTAATATATATAATATTAATAAACTCAAAGTTGTAAGAATTAAATTAAAAAAAATTAGGAAATTAAATTATCAATATGACCAATAAAATAAAGTTGAGAACATGAGTTTAAAATGGTATTATTTTCTTATTAAATCAATTTTTTTTTTGAAATTTTGGAATATGCATCAAAATCAAATAGAGATTAATAGAAATAAATTTTATAAAATCTCAAAACGGATTCAAATATATAATAAGTAATTAAATTCAAATTTGACTTTGTCGGATCCAATTTAAATATGATACATTGACAACGTTACATAGAAGTATAAGAAAAAGTGATTATGTTAAAATAATCTTAGCATATATAATAAGAAAAAGTGATTATGTTAAAATAATCTTTGCATATATAATCTCCTTCCCTCGAGCCGTCTCCTTAATTATTAACAATTCCAGTTGGGGCGGTTCATTTTTTTATTGTTCTAACTTTGTGTTCCTTTCTTGTATTGCACGGCAATAATGGAAGAAAGACAGTACAAGGGAACTCTAATTGGAGCAAAGGTATACTTAAGGTAGTGGGCACTCTTTTGAGACGCCTCAAAAGCGGAGAACACAACGTTAATTGACACCCATGTGATCTTCTTTCCTATTTTACATGCAAGGGATTTGTCTTATTTCTGAAGACAACTTCCACTTCTAAAAGAATGATAACAATACCAAGCTTTCCACTTCTATATGTGCAACCCAATTAATGGCAAGGGCACTTATGTTGGCTCACCGATGGGGCGTGGGCTCTGGTTCGTGCCGCCCACACTGCCAATGCCATATATTAAATTTACCAAGCATCAATCCAACAAGGTCTTATTAATATTTTCTTAAAATATTGTGAAAAAAAAAAACTACTGTGTTTATACAATTATGAATACACACAGATGGGATGGGGTAGGAACATGTGTAAGGCAACATTTCAAATTAATAGCCTGACCATATGGTGATTTTTTTATACTCAATATGTGAACATTGATTTCACCTCTCAAAGTAAATAGATAAAACAAACTCTTTAGTATGTAAATTTCACCTCTTTACATGAGAAGTAAAGACAGTACTTTTATACCCAATATCAACATTAACTCATATAGATGAAATTATTGAATGAGTAAAAAGACTTGATCTTGCACTGTTTTATTTATTATAAAAAAAATATTCTATCCACAAAGAATCTTAAAAGATGAACTGTGTTGCAAAGTTAAAACTCTTGCTTTCCGTATAATTGTTGTTCAGACTTCAGAACTACTTCCTTGTCTAATCCATTACATCTCAACACGTCAAGAATAGAATTCCTGTGTGTGAAGTTAGGGGCAGCCCACAAAGCTGTCACAGAGAAATACCAAGTAAAAGAAACAGCTGCTTCCTCAAGAGTTTGTTTTCCATGTTTCCTTCATTTCTTTCCCCCGTCAGGCCAATTACATTATTCCACTTTTGTCTAATTTTCTTTTTAATTTCTTTTTTCAGGGTTGATCCAAGTGCATAACTTACAAATCCAAGATATTCAGAGGGTTTCCTCTTATTTCTATATGTGTGTGTACGTATATAAAGTATCATCTGTTTACTCATAAAACTATTGCTTACCAATTAAAATATTTGTTATTTGATATTTCATACCGACTACATAAATTTCAATAGTAATTATTAACAATTTCAAAACTTAACTGAGATAATATTTATAAAAGCTTTCTATTGACTCAAGTTTCTAATGTATTCAAAATAAATAAATTGATGGAATGCATAAACTATTCCTGTTTTTATTCATTTCGTTCTTTGCCGGTGATAGTGCCCAGCCCAACAGTCTCCTTTTGCTATTATTTTTTATGTATGTGTATTATACGTATATACATATTCTTTACTTATGCCTTTAATTATAACAGGGCGGCGCATGGGGCGGCGCATAACCGAGCACCAGTCCCCCAAAAACGGTTTCCATATTCTCCATGATCCATCCCCTGTTCTGTCTAAAAGAACAGGGGACTGATTCTACCCCCACTACTAATTCACAGAAAGTCAAAAACAAAGCGTATCGCGGGACGAAGAAAAGCATAGCTTCTCGCTCTTGGAAAGTGAACAAAAGTTAATTTCTTTGACAATAGAAGTTCACCTTCCCAGAACCCATGCTTGACTGTAATCCCCCTTAATTTCAAATTTTGAAACTTGAACTTACTGCTTCCTTGAATTTGACCTGCTCAAAATCACCTTCCCATTAATATAGAAATGGGTTTCCTTTAAGTTAAAAAATATATATAATGGCGTTCACCTTTAGACCTTACACACCTTCCTTTTATCCTTGTTTGAATTTTCCTTATTCTGACGTCGTGCTGCTCTCGTTGTTTTCCTCCTTTTATCTTTGTGACGCCACTGTTTTCACTGCAATGTTGTGGTCAGTAATTTATCGAAGGGCTTAAAAATTGGATCTTGCACACTTTTACTGGAACCCAAATTTTGGAAAAGCTTAGATCCGACTTTTTCTTTTTATAGTTGAATATAAAAAACCAACTATTTGGAAGTTCTACAAGTTAGATTATAATAAGCTTATAACATTTTTATTGTCAAAATTAAATATTTGCTTTTGTTAGGAAATTTTATTACGGATATACTTAAACACAATTATTTGAAAAGTTTGAGGACTAAATTATCATTTTTGCCCTTTGTTTTTAATTGAACATTATTCATCAGTCAGGCCAATAAATTTCTGATCCAAAAAGTGCTAATTCTAAGCTAATCATGGTTTTCATGTTTAAGTTTCTTTAAATGATTTATCTGATATTATTCCTAAAAATTATATCATTTTTTTACAATTCAATGAGATTTTGACCAGAGAGAGGATTTTTTTGGGGACGGTTGGATTTGATTAAAGATTTTTTATTTAAATTATAATTTTATTTTTTTGTTTTTTGTTTCAATTATGTTTAGATTTATTTAGAATATAAAAACTCAAATTTTGAAAATTATCTTAAG